CATGTGAGTCAATTCATATAGTGTCTAACTTAAACCAGATATATGTCAAAATTCATCTTCAATAATACATCTTTATTATGGTACAAACACAATATTATATATCATTACATTATACACACATATTACAATATCATCAACCAAAGTTCTTTGACATTATTGTACAAATGTCTTGCAAATACCTCATAATACCAATACAAACACAACATATTATTATACAGATTTTCAACATTGTCGATGTTTTTCACTCCAAAATAGTTGTTCTCTCTGACATTGCCGATGTTGATGTTTCCGCTACACATTTGATTCTCTTCTGTGCTTCTCCAGGACCAGGATACCGATTTTGTTTAGGCCTCCCAGATTGTCGTTTCTCATCCATTATAGGAGGCATAACCACAAGATTTGCAACATTCGGGTTATCGATAATCCATTCACAGCAATCAGGGACCGGATACACGGTTTTCTGATAGGCAAGACGCCATGTCTCCCGCGTATAATATGGAGAACACAAGTCTGGTACATTCGCTTTACCAACCTTATGAAGTGCTGCAATTGCATGGCTGCATGGGATCTTATCGATATCAAACATCCTACAACTGCACGTTCTACCTTCTATGCTAACAAGGTATTTTCTACCCTTTTCACCCCTCACTTCAAACTCCTCTGTAACAGTGTTTAGCATAATGACTTCATACGTACATGCAGTCTCATACCTCTCATGGAGCACTTTGTCAACATGCGGTGTCATTTTTTCTGAATCATTGGCACATCCTGCTTCAACTCTATATCTATCGAACCATTCCACGGTCTTGGAGATACACATATCCAGAAGGCCCAGCACCGAAAACCTTTTGGCCTTCTTCATTACAGAATTTATTGATTCCGCCGCATTTTTGTCAATAAATTATACATTTGACGCTTAAATTTACACCTTGCCCATTTCTCGGGATCAAGTTCTTCTTTCTGCATATACTCCGCAACTTTGGGATACCTACACTCACAATGGTCACATGGTCACATGGTCACATGTTTCAGAATAAGCAATGGTCACATGATCACAATATACAATAGTCACAATATACAAGTCACATGGTCACACGGTCACATGGTCACATTGATGATGGTCACATGGTCACATGGTGACATAGTCACACAGTCACATGTTTCAGAATAATCACAATTTTAGATTAGGTAATAATGGTTAAAAAAACCTCGTATATGTCCTTCATATCATTAAACAGGTCTTCAAATTCGTTCAACGTATAAGCTTCTGCGCATTTGAAGAACCGTTCGGCAACGGTATCACCTCTCGAACTTTTTCTTCCCATGCCTTTGTTAACCTTGACTTTCAAATTTTGTGCTATATGTCTCGCACAAAATCCGTGCCCTGCTTCTTTGTACACTTCGCTGACGGCTTTTATTATACTCCTATGTCGATCAAAAATCACGACAACATCAAGTCCATCTGAGATTGTCTTTATTAACATTTTCATAAACCACCTTCATGATGCATCTTTTTCTCTGTCAATAACCCCCCAGGTTGACGGATATAGGAAGTGGTCACCGTCTTGTGCTGTCGCAACGACCAATGTACCCTTGTATTGTCCAGTGAGAAATGTTGCATCAATTGCAACCACTTTACACATGTAATTCCATCCTCTTACCGCTGCACCCAATGCGAAGAAGAGATATTTGAAACTTTTGTCATCTTTGTCCAACTCAAGACCGACAATCGTTCTGGATTCCTCTTTTGCAACATGTGCAACCATCTAGGAAGTTTTCTGAAATGCTCAGCAGGATCACCTCGAATCTCACTTTCAGCTTTGTGTTTGCCTCGTAATGCCGTCAAATATGTTACGGTTGTACCGTACTTGGCTTTTACCCTGTCTATAATTTCATGGGCTGAAGGCGTACTATCAAGTTTACCGGGAAATTCTTCCTTCAAATAATCCCGAACCAATTTCTTTGTACCCCTCAAAGCTTCACTTGTTTCAGATACGGGTTTACAGCTATGCATGGAATTGTGTTTTCTTACACTCCAACACTCCGAGTTTAAAATCAATGTCGTCCGCAACTTCCAATTACAGCCCGATTCAGCAAATTTGCACCTTATTTCCTGATAACTCATATTTCTCTCTACATCTCCAGGGCGTTTTTATAGGATTTATACGGAGATCACATGCATTTGTAGGCATTATAGGCGTGTTAGGCCACGAAACTCGGTTTGGTTGTGTTTTTATAGGATTACAGGTCTCGGATGCGATTTGGAGCAAGACGGGAGCAATCTGGAGCTAAAACGATGAAAGAGTCAAGAATTTCCCGCCTTGACTCGGTCCGAGTCAGTTACCCCGAGTCAACATGTCCGAGTCAGATACCCCGAGTCAACATGCCCGAGTCAGAAGATTGGGCTGGGCCGAATTCCTTATGTCTCGTCTTGACTCGGTCGAGTCAGAGTACTGACTCGGTCCGAGTCAAAACCCAGAAAAAGCCCAGATTCGAATTTTCAGAGTTTGATCGGGAGTAGGGCTTCGGGAGCGCCGCCTAGGGTTTATAAAAAGACTCTACAGACGTCCTAGAGAGGGGGACAGACTTTATACAGACTTTGGAGAGCTTTGGTGAGAGAAACAAGAGTTTTACGGGATTTCGGGAAGAAGAAGGAGAGTTGGAACGTGAAGATCGCTTGCTGTCGACATGAGTCTTTCTTCTCCCTCTTTTCTTTCTGTTTCTGGTTTTGCTCAGTGTTTTTCCATGAACCGTGAGTAGATCCACGGCTGTGGGTTAGGGATTCGTTTGTGTTTTGGGTATGTTTGAACCCTAACTTGGTTGCGATTTGGATTTGTTTCGGTTTTATTGATTTGTGCTTTATTCGATTGGTGTTTGCTGACCCCTTGGCAAATTATTTCAGATTCTGAACTACATAGGAATATGGGTTTAGTTTCGGATCAAAATCGATAAGATAGATCGTATTATTCACATAGGAATATGGTTTGATCGATCTAAGATTGATGATGGTGTTCTTCATGCATCTAGTTTGATAAATCACATAGGGATATGGATTTAGAGAACTTTAGATAGTGAGTTATATGCCGGGAGGTGATTTCTCTATCTTTGTTGCTTGACGATTCCCGAATACAGATTCAATATCGTGATTCTCGCATACTTAGCATATACCCATACACACGAATACGGTCCCGACACCCACGGTCATCTTAGATTGCTAGTTTACACATTCTTATTGCTTTGCTTCCTTATTTTCTATTCTTTCCATATACTTCCACCATCACTTTCACTTGCTTGCTTCGATTTAGTTTCAATTAGGATTTAGACTTAGCTACCGGTCCTTGTGTTCGACCCCGTGTTACGACGATCCGTATCCTTGCGGTGAGTTGTGAATCGGGTATAAATTTTAGACTCG